AGCACACCATAAGGAAGGTGTAGAAGACCCATTGAACACTTCTCACTACCTCCCCTTCCCCCTTACCTTAGCTCCCAGCGGGCTTCTCTGTCTAACATCATTATCTGAGCAAGCGTGACGGGCAAACATGCAGCCCAATACACGTGCCAGCCCAACGTATTTCCTGGCTCTGCCCACCTTCCTTAACATGTAGAGGTGGTTGAAGCATACACTAGAGACTAATTGCATTTCCAGTATCCCATCCTTACTGATGGATAAATCTTTGGCCCTCTGCAACCCTACCCCGTCCCTAGATTTAAAGTTAAAAAGAGCAGTGATAAAACCTTATCAAGAGAGAAACTGGAAAAAAATACATCAATCCACAAAAAGGGCATATCTTAGTATAGTGTGCTTCTGAATGATGTTTATCTTGTGCATTTCTGCTTCTATTTTGCAAATATTATATTATAACACGTGTTCCTTTAATATGGAAAACACAGAAAGGGAAGGTGCTAAATAATTTGGTAAGAGATCTAAGATGCAAAAAGCATATTGCATCCCATGTATAAATTTTCAGTGTCCTGCTCTCTGTGATGTCTGGCAAGTACAGTATGTATCCAATTTAAACACCTATGCAGCAGGAGCCAGGTGCAGTATATTTATTATAGTCTTCATTTGGTTCTGGCATATAAGTAAATCTTCCATATCCATTTTTCACTGATGCAAAGAATTTCAGAAATAAAACAGGCACTGTAAAAAAAAAAATACTGTGGTATTGCTAAAAACAATTTGTTTCCTGATGTTGTGGAAATCATAAAAAATACCTAACTATCCAAACACATGTGGTTGGTTAAATACGACATCGGTTGTAATATTTTTACATTACAGAAATCGGGGGAGGGACTAATGTTAAGCAGAAACAAAAGCAAGATGCTAAACTATATATGGTGGGGTATGGAAGACTGCTGTAGATCATTTTATGCCTAGAGAGCCAGAAATTCTAAAGTCCTGTCTTACTTTGGCTACAGTTTCCTATGAGGTTTTCTTTCTTTTTTTTTTTTTTTTACTGCATTTTAGGTTTTGGGGTACATGTGAAAAACATGCAAGATTGTTGCATAGGTACACACACGGCAGTTTGATTTGCTGCCTTCCTCCCCATCACCTATGTCTGGCATTTCTCCCCATGCTACCTCTCCCCAACTCCCCTCCCCCCATTGTCCCTCCCCTATTCCCCTTCCTCCACAGACCCCAGTGTGTGATGCTTCAAGAAAAACATATGTGGACTGGGAAATGACAAATGTGAGATAAGATACCATTTTATTATTTGCTGTGCTTCTCCCTTTATATCCAGGGCAAAGCTGCCTCGTAAACTGAGTTTAAGGGTGAGGGAACGTGCTCCCACTTATCACGAACCAAAATCTTAGGATCTAATTAATCTGTGACAAGCTGCATGGTGGAGAATAGATGAGAGCCTGACGTCACCTGTAAGAAAAAATTAGCCAAGGTAGTGTGACCTCCTCCCATGTCAAGGTTAAGGGTGCAACCATAATTTCTTATGCATAAATGGCCTTTGTAAGTGATGCATTGCAGCTTTCCTTCCCCTCTTCTCTCCAATTCCCTCTCCCCTTTCCCCCCACCCTCCTATTCCTTCTGCTACACACCTTCCTTCCCTTTCCCTTTCTCACCTCTTTCTTCTCCATCCCTCCTTTATCCCTCCTCCCTTAACCATCCCCACCCTCTCCTTCCTTACCCTTCCTTTCCCTCCATGCCCTGTTCCTTCTCTTTGTCCCATTGCTCTCCAAAACCTTGAATGAGTGTCCTCTAACAGAAAAACTAAGATGTGGAAAATACATCAGAATATTAATAAGTTATCTTTTATTAAATTGTCCTTTTCTGTGTGATCCTCTACTTTTTTCTATGATAAGCATCCCTGTTTTATAGTCAGAAGGCTAGATTTTTATAGTATAACACACTTTAATATTTATTTATTTTAGGTTGCAATAAAAGAACATGAAAAACAGTATCAAATGAAGTGACTATTTTCAGTGAAAGTAGAACACAATACAAAGAAAACATGGTATCTTCAGTTTACAATTATACAATATAAGGTGAATGAACTGTTTATAAATACTACATAATATTAACACCTCGGTGGTAAACAATAACATCATTATGATTAAATTTATAGGCCACTATATGTCACATACACAAGCGCTCAATTTAATCAAGTGTGGTCTTGACATTCTTAAATGTATGCTAATCTTTTTCAAGCAGTCAAACTTCAAAATACACTGTTTTAGTTAGCATAAGTACTGTATTTCTATAGCAAACTAAGGAAGGCACAGCCAGTGCAAGCAGATTTAAACTTTAGTCTTCTGGGCTGGAAAAAAGAAAAAATAAAACACTTGCATTGGTACTTTATAAACTTTTTTTTTTCAAGCAAATATTTGTTTCATTAACAATTCTGACAGTTTCACAGCTACAGTCTAACAGGAACATGACCAAAGGACATCACAAAAGTCAATACTCTGTAGCACCAAACTTACATGCTTTAGATAACTGACAACAGCTTACATATTTTGAAGAATATTATACTACCACAGTCTAGATAGCATAAACTGGCACTTAGACACTTTTTAGGACAATTTTTCAAATACAGACTACCAAGAAACTACAAAAACATGACTATAAGAAATAATAGTATTCAGGTTACAGGTTAGGGTTTTACTTTTTTCAAGACTGTATGAATCTGCTCCACTTCTTGAATTTTTAAGATTCTTGAAAAATCTTTCAGATTGACCTTTTTATTTTCTATACTTCCTGTTTCCGTAATCTTTGCCAACTCCATAGTAGGAACCGTATTCATTGACTTCTCCAGTATAGTAATAGATTGACTTCAGGATGACATTATCATGTAAAATCTGCCCAATTTCAAAGTCCTCATCAAGGATAGCATCTTCTTGTGGTTCCAGCTTTCCAATCATAGGAATCTCAGGAGGGCTAAAGAAATTGAAGAATGATGAATTAGGAACCACTCTTGGCTGGATTTCTCCAGTAGCAGTTGTGCGACTCTGGATAGTTTTCACCGTAACATCTTTTCCTCTTCTCCAGTCTATCTTGCAGCCTTTGCAATCTTCAATTTCCCATCCCCAAGAAAAGAAGGGATCATGGTGATCTGGTTTTGACTTTATTATATATGTCTTTACCAGCACCTCATTTCTGAAATATGGATTGGGTAGAAAATGAAATTCAAAGGTGTAACTTACAGGCTGGCCAGGTTTTGAGAACTTCAGGTTAACATCCGACAAGAACTTCAGAATCGGCTCATCATACTTCTGAATCATAGGCCCCAGCTTGTCAACATTCTTTAAAACAATCAGCCAATAGTCAGGAATGCCTTTAGGGTCTTCTCTTTTAGGCTTTCCCCTCCTAGCTCTTTTAAGACTTACTCTTTCCGGAAGCCTTTCCTCAGGAACTCTTTTATGAGCCTCTCTTACTCCAGCCCTTGGCTTAGCCTCTGTTGCTTTAGGCTGTTCTTTATCTTCGGCCTTTGCCTGGGGGGCTTCTTTAGGATCTTCTTTGACTTCAGGGATTGCCTCCATACCGTCTTCAGAATCTGCTTTTTCTTCAGCCTTTACCTCAGCAATTTCTTTAGGAACTACCTTTTCTTCATCCATTACCTCAGCAATTTCTTTAGGAATTACCTTTTCTTCATCCATTACCTCAGCAATTTCTTTAGGAATTACCTTTTCTTCATCCATTACCTCAGCAATTTCTTTAGGAACTTCTTTTTCCTCATCCTTTACCTCAGGAATTTCTTTAGGAACTTCCTTTTCCTCATCCTTTACCTCAGGAATTTCTTTAGGAACTTCCTTTTCTTCATCCTTTACCTCAGGAATTTCTTTAGGAACTTCCTTCTCTTCAGCCTTCACCTCCGGGTTTTCTTTAGGCTTTTCTTCTTCCTCACCCTCTAAGGGAGGCATTTCACTAAGGGTGTCATCCTGCACCTCCTCATCACTGCTGAACTCCTCATCCTCTGAATTCCATTCACACTCTTCTTCTGTAGGCTCGTATTCTGCATTGATGATTTGAAACCGCCTATCATACAGAGGCTTGTTGAGTTCAGCATATTTTCTTTCAAGATCATGAATTGCTTTTAAGAACATCGTGTCTACCTTGTCACATTCATCTTGAATGTTTCTAAGCGCTTGCACACGATTTCTAACAGCCTGAGGCAGCTTAATCACGAAATCTGTTCTCCACGGAGCCCGCCGCGCCCTTCTGGAAGGCTCAGGTACCCTCTTCTTTCTATATAAGCCGCTGTCGCTGCTAGTGCTGCTACTGCCGCTGCTGCTGCTGCTGCTGCTGCTACTGCTGCTGCTGCTACTGCTACTAGTGCTGCTGCTAGAGCTACTGCTGTCAGATTCTTCCCCAGAATCACTAGCCGAGCTAGCCATCTCCTCTTCGGCAACACTTTGGGCGACAGGTTCCGAGACCTCTTTAAAATCTGCTTCTGCCATTTTGCAAGCCTGCAAAACTCTACCGCGGAGACCGCGCGCCCAGAGATGGGCAGAAAATGACTCACGGATGCTTGGGTGGCGGCGGCGGAGGCCCGGGCTGCGGAGGTGGCAGCGGCGATGGCAGCAGCGGCGCAGAGCGGAGCTGGAGCTGAGAATGCAGAGGCCGGCGCTGAGGTGGCAGCGGCAGTGAACGCCTGGGCGACAGCGGTAGCTGCAAGGCCTCTCCCGGCTGCAGCTACGGAGTGCCGAGGTGTGCCGCAGCCGAATGGCGCAGTATGAGACCCCGAGATCTCTTCTCGTTTTAGATCGCGAGCCCCCTCCCCTTGCAGTCAGACCTCCCGTTCATTTCGTTCCCAGTGTGCCTTTAGTTCGCTCCTCATTTGCTGGTCCACCTTAATTGACAAATCGTACGCCCAACGAACAGCCAAACGCCACTGCTCCTGGCTCCGCCCACCTTCCCAGACGCTGCTCGCTGGCCGAGGTGCGACCCCCTGGATGGTGTCCCCCCTACCCCCCAAAAAGTCTACATTTATAGTTTTATAATTCAAAAAGCAAAAAAAAAAAAAAAAAAAAAAAAAGTAGACATGAGATAAAAATGCCAGCCATAGTTCCGAACAAGGGCAGAAGAGGCGTGTCTTCCTTCTGCTATTCGCCCATCCGGATTTCCAGTTTAGTTTGTCACGGGTCTCCTGACAAAACCCTGTTTAAAAAAAAATTGAATGAAAATGGTCTAAATGGCGTCATTGGGTAGTGTGACTATGGACGATTTAAAAACAAAACGATTTTCTCTAAATATTCTATGAGCATGTATTTTTACACTGGATAAAAAAGGGGAGAGTCGGTTATTGGTAGAGGGGGGAGGGACTAGACAGCAGGCGTATTGCATTCCACGAAGCTGATTTAATAAGTGCTGTCTGTGATGTTTGGCAAGCCTGGTTTATATCCATCTACAAGGTTTGCGAACCCATGTTGCCGTGAGTCAGTTACACCATTTTTATTATATTTCTCTTTTTAGGCTGGCATATATTATACCCCAACCTTGCTGCTAACTTGCCACGTAGCCCTTCTCAATGCTTGCAACAACCTTGTAGATAAAACAAAGAGGTATTAAATGTTAGGTAGTATTGTTAAAAAGCAAATGATGTGCGTTATACTTTTGTGCAGCAGGTTTCAATTCGAAGAACAGTGGGATGGGAGGGGGAATTTGTGCTAATGAATGTGCATCTTCTGTCAGTGTATGCGATGTCATCTGCCACCAATTTCCTTCTAATGTTGTAAAATTCTAACCATATTAAAGTATGATTTACAAGTCCAGTAATATGTGAATAAACTTTTGCAAAATGAAGTTTAAAAACGGGTATTTGTTATTTTTATTTACAGGATTTTTTTTTTCTGCTACAGAACAACTCCCTTGGTACAATAAAAAAAGACGAGTATTTACTTTTCATTGAAAGGTAAGGAACATGTTTAGCACATTTTAAAGAATGACAAAAATTGCTCATCTCCATCTGAATAAAAGTTTACAGGATACAGTCATTTAGAGATGTATTTTAGATAATTATCTTGATAATTCTATGGAAACAGGAAAATCTACAGAGGTGATTTGGCATCCTAATGCAGAAAATAACCCACTTAACCGCATTAACTATCTAAACCTGATCATAGAATACAAGTGGTAAATCAAAATATGAAATATGATAAATTATTCGTTTCAAATGAAGAAATGTATTAAAGTTAGATTAATCTTTATAGAATTTGTGCTTTGTCATGTAGTCACGTTTTTTAAAAGTTAGGAAACGCTTTTCTGTTTCACAAATGCATTTACTTTTACTGTTTCTCTCTAATTGTCAAAGTCTGTGAACATTGCAAAGATAAAACCTCAATATAGAAAATTTCAGTGGTAGTGAAAGCACACAATCTTATCCACTAAATGATAAGGATTACTAGCATTTTGATGCACTTTCTTCCAGAAATTTCCTCGTGCATATACATACCTGCCTATTTAGGTATACTGCTTTATCTATGTGATACCATATTATGTTTTGTAATCTGTTCATTTATCAATTACTAATGACTATATTTTCATCTTATTTTTAAAGAAATGCATATTTCATGGAAATAATTGCCTTAATTTATTTGACCAATTCCTGTTATAGGGTGGCTATTTCTATACCATCTCTCCCCTTAAATGCATACTATTTCCCTGTTACGGTAAAAGTGTCCCTGAATACCTAAAGCATATATTTCTATGCACTTGTGAAAATTGGTCATGAGATAAATTCCTAGAATTGGATGCTCTGGGGATAATCATTTCATATTATGAAATTATTATTGTATTCATTTTGCCAAACTCTGCAGAATGATTATCACAATTTACAACTCCAACAGTGCATAAAGTTTCTTTTTTTGTCATTCAACTAATATATTTTCGTGCCTGTCATATGCCCTGCAAATGTGGTAAAGGACTGTAGTATAATGGTGAATGAAACTTACTAAGTGCATATTCTTTCATTGAATAATTTTAGTCAAAACAAATGTTATAGAAACAATGATTTACATTAAGGGGGTTATACCATAAATTTTGTTCTGCAACTTACTATTTTTATTTTAAATTATGGAGATTTTTTAAAAGTATGCTCTTTTAAATTTTTTTTAAATGTTTTAAATTTTATAGCATCAGGAATTAGTATTTTAGAGTCAGTCATGAGTTAGGAATCCAGATTGTTAAAATATTTATTTTTATTAGCTAGTAAATTTTTCTAGTACCATTTATTTGGTAATCTTTCTATCTCATGCTTGCTTGAAATGCTACTTTGCTCACATAAAAGAAATTCCTTGTGTCTGTTTCTAAATTATTTTCTGATTCATTGGTCAGACTTTTTCTGCAAAATATCTAATGAGTCGGTTTTAAGATAATTTTACTTTCCGTAAAAATGGTATGTGTTCATTGATAAAGTCAGACAGTACATTGAAATACAAAGAATAAAGTAAAAGTAACTCAAAATACCACGGAGAAGTAATCACTACTTATATTTGTAATCAACATCTCCAAATTAATTTATCAATGTTATATATTTGTATTTCTTAGATTAGTGGTAAGATTGTCTTTTCATATGTTTATTGTTTATTTGAGAACGTCTATTCATATTTTTATTTGTTTTCCACTGAATTAAGCAAGAAATTAGTCAGTGGTGAAATCCTAAAGGTGAAATGATTTTGGCCTTGACTTACTTAAGGCAACTATGATTTCTTCAGGAAATAACTCATGATATTGGGCAAATGTGACTAAATTACTTTCAATTACTTTCATATTCAGACTTTTTTTTATGGATGCTTGCGGGGTTTTTGGATGCTTTTCAAGGATTACGGATTACTACTTAACCACTCACGCTGATTCTGGAAAAGTTTGGAATAGAACATGGGGAAGAAACATAAAAAAAATCTTTCAAAAACATCACACAAAAATAACCTATTAATCAATCATTGTGATTTTCAATTTGGAATTATTTTTTCCATAGATGTAGACAATGAAAATGGTTGAAAGTAGATGACTTTTCTAATCACAATACTCTACTTCCATTATGTATACATAAGTATCTTGTAATGTACTTTTATTTTTGTGGCTTTTCTTGGATCAATTTGTTTATTTAATGTCGTGTAGTAGGTATCTAAATGAAAATAATATCCTATTTGTTCTACTGTGAAATGTAAGTATCAGTTTAATCATATCATATACTTATTTTTCTTAGTAAGGTTAAATATAAATTATTTGCATAGTGATATGTTCTTTGTTCAATTCATAGATGATATTTTTTGGGGGGAGGGCTAAATGATCCTGTTTCTACCTGAAATGATACATAACAGAGAATCTGATAGTATGCTCAGACTGAACATAGTACATTAATATCTGTTGTTACCTCCCTTAATATGAACATACACACAATCCCTTCCACCACCACTCCTGCCACACAAACACACAAAGTATATAATGACAAGTATAATGACAAGTATAGCAGCATATCTTTTGTTGTAGATATCAAAAAGCAAAGCATTGCAAGTTCATTTATTTTTGAATGGCTTTTTTCCCTGTTCTTCCTGGACGAGTTTTATCTGAATACACAAGTTAATTCCTTTTTAAAACCATGTTATTGATGTATAATAGACACACAATAATGGCATGTAAAGTATACAGTTTTGTAAATTTTGATAAATGTGTGAATCAGTGAAAGTATCACCACAGACAAAATAATGAAAATTGTACCATTCCCAACAGTTTCCTTATATATCTTTCAATCTCTCCTCTTGTCCCTAGACAATCACTGGTCTGTTTTCTGTTCCTATGGATTAATTTGCATTTTCTAAAATTTTATAGGTGGAATAATGTAGTATGTCCCTCTTTTTTTGCTGTTTTTCACTACCAGAATTATTTTTGAAATTCACCCATGTTGTTGTGTGTATCGGGAGTTTATTTTTCCTGTTTACAGGCTGAGTGATTATTCATTACTTGGCAATACTACAATTTTTGATGGGCATTTTTGTTGTTTTGAGTTCTGGGCTACTACAAATAAGGCTGCTATGATCATTGTATACAAGTTTCTATGGACATATGTTTTAATTTCTTTAGAGAAATACATAGGAGTGGAATGTTTGGATCATATGGTATGTGTATGTTTCACTTTTTAAGGAATTACCTGTTTTCCAAAGTGGTTGTTTTGCCTTTCCATCAACAGTGCCAACACTTGATATGGACAGTGTTATAAAAGTTAGCCATTCTAATAGATATTCAGTAGTATTTCATTGTGATTTTAATTTATATTTCTTTGATGACTAATGATGTGCTGATTTACCATCTACATAGCTTCTTTGGTGAAGTGACCATTTGTATTTTCTCCATTAAAAAATTGGGATTGCAGTTTTACTATTAAGTTTTCAGGGTTCTTTATATACTCTGGATGCAAGTTCTTTATCAGTTATGGCATCTGCAAATATTTTCTCCCAGACTGTATATTTTCTTTACATTCCCTTAAGGTTGCCTTTCACTGTTTAAAGAGAAAACATTTGTAATTTTTATATCGATATATCATACATCATATTTTGAGGGCACATGTGATTTTGATACATGCATACAATGTGTAATGGTCAACTCAGGGTAATTGGGATAAGAAGTTTGCAATTTTCAAAGTCCAATTTATCTTGTTTTTCTTCTATGGAGCATACTTTGGGTGTCATCTGTTAGAAATCTTTGCTTAACCCAAGGTCACAATTATTTTCTTCCTTTTTTTAAAAAAGTTTATACTTTTAAGTTTCACATATAGGTCTGATACATTTTTGCAAAAAAGTACAAGATACGGTTGAAGGTTTATTTCTTTTGATATGGATATGCAGTTGTTCCAGCACTGTTTGTTGAATAGACCGTCTTTTCACCACTGACTTGCCTTTCCACATTTGTGAAAAATTAGTTGTCCTTGTATGTGTGCGTCTATGTTGGACTCTCTAATCTGTTCTTTTGTGTACTGATTTTAATGACAGAATCGGAACTTATCCATTTTTAAGATACATTTGGGAAAGAATGAGAACAAAATTGTGTGATAACAGAATTCCATTACAGTGGAGACAGTCGCAGAAGCTGGATCTTCATCCTTGACATTTCAGGTCTCCTCCCAAGTATGTGAGATAAAGGGTCAGATAACAGCAGTAAAAACGTAGAAAACAAATAACAAAAAGAAACATAAATGTTCTTCTATTCTGTGGAGTTGCCATTGTGTAGGTGTCCACAGCCCAGCCACAGGAAATAGTAGTTAGCATTATTCAGGAGCACAATAATGTCTTTGTTTTTCTCACATCTGATAAAGAGTGACCTACTTGCTAAAACTGAAATATTAAATAGAAAGTATCTTCAAGTTGTTAATAAATTAAGGTTAAAAAAATAATAGTAATAAAACATTGGTTATGATGATATTATTATTAATAGTAATAAATAAAATATTGGTTGTTTTATAACGTTTTAAACCATAGCAATGGTTTTCAAAGCACAAATATTTCATTTATGCTTATTCCAATAATAAGGATATACTCAAATGAACAGAATATGGTGTGTGGTTATAGATTTTATTTTCTAAGGAAATATTTCTGAATTGCATTTCTTGCACTATAGCCTTAACTGCATGGAGTTTAAAAGGGAAATTACAATTAATGCAGTGGAAGATAAGGAATATTAGCTCCTAATTTGGATATTTAATATAGCACTATTTTTTAAAATGTAATTGTTATGTAAAAATTACATATATTTTTGCCATATAACATGATGTTTGGCATATGTATACATTATTGAATGACTAAATCAAGCATTTTAACATATGTATTACCTCAAATACTTATTTTTTTCTGGTGAGAACACTCTAAATCTACTCTCTTACCTCCCTCCTGTCCAACTGAAGTGTTGTATCTTTGAACA